ACTTATGTCTTGATTAAATACTTGCATTAACTCAGTGTAAAAATAAAAAAACACTATTCGGCATTCTCGAGACTAATGGCCGGATTTTTGAAAGTTTGGTGCATATTCCCGGATTTTGGAGACTACTTCGGGATTGTCTAGACTAATATCGGGATTATTCCGGGATTTTCAAAACCACTTCGGGGTTTTTGGGACTTTTCGAATTTCGGAATTATCGGGACTAATATCGGAGCTTTTGGACTTTAGGAACTATTTCGGAATTTTCGAGACTACTTCGGCGTGTTTGGGATTCTAGGGACTAATATCGGGATTTATGCCCCGAAAGTCTCAAAAATCTTTGTATAGGTCCCGATAATCCCTAAGTAGTCTCGAAAATCCCGAAATTGTCTCTAAAGTCCCGAAAACTCCGAAGTAGTCCCTAAAGACCCAAAAATCCCTATATTAGTCTCGAAAGTCCTGTTATTAGTCCCGGAGATCCTGATAGTCTGGAAAAGGCCGAAGTAGTCTAGAAGACCTCGAAATAGTGCCGAAAGTCCCAATAAATCCCGAAATAGTCCCGAAAGTCTTAAAATATCCTCAAAAGTCGCAAAAATTCCGATATTAGTCACGAGAATCCTGACAACTCCGAAGTAGTGTCGAAAATCCCGATATATACTCTAAAGACATAAAAATCCCGATATTAGTCAGGGGAATCTCGAAAACTCCGAAGTAGTCTAGAAAACCTCGAAATAGTGTCGAAAGTTCCAATAAATCCCGAGATAGTCACGAAAGTCTCAAAAATCCCGAGAATCCCGAAGTTGTATCGAGAATCCTTAAAAGTCCCGAGAATTACGAAATAGTTTCGAGAATTGCGAAATAGTTTCGAAAATCCCGAAATAGTCTTGAAAATCCTGATTTAGTCCGGAGAATCTATAAAATCCCGAAATACTTCCCAAATTGAGATGTGGTGAGTTTAGGTGAGGTGTGATGAGTTGATTGAAGGTGAGGTGAAGTGAGTTTTGGTAAAGTAAGTTGAGGTGAGTGTAAGGTGAGGAGTTAATACATGCTAGTGTGAGAAGGCAAACCCCAGCACTCGGTGGTATTCTTTCTTTTGTCCATTTCTTTCTTATATAACTACACCTTTCTTTTATATAAAAAATACTTTATGTAGAATTTTCTGAACCTTGTAATCTTTATTTCCGTATTTTTTATTTATTAGGTTAATTGTTGTCTTTAATTGTTTCATAGAACAATTAAAAAAAGTAATTGCAATTAAATTAATTGCAGTGTGCAATTACAAATTTAATTGCCATTAAAATTTGAATGGCAAATAATTTAATTGCAATTAATTTAATTGCAATGCACAATGAAAAGTTTAATTGCAATTAATTTAATAGTAATGTGCAATTAAAAATTTAATTGCAATTACTTGTTTAATCAATTAACGAGGTAAGTGAAATATTAATTGAATTACGCCCAACACTGCTTAAGGACAATCATAACCAAGAAAGCCCGTTTCTTTATCTTCAAAAAGACGTTAAGATGAAGTCTCCACAATGAGTAGAGCCCTAGATATAACGATTTGAAGAAGTACATGAATGGTCAGAGTCACAAAAAAAATCGAACTCTGAGAGATTATATCTCCGAAGAAAAAAAAGAAAAACAAGTAAAAGATCTAAGTTCGGGTGGAGCCGAACAATAAACACACGGCGCAAGTATTAAATATAGTTTTTCACCCTCTGAAAACTACCGTTACATGGTTTTACCCCTATTTCTAACAATTTCGATAGTATGTCCGGTTATACTTAATGAGATAAACTTGTATAGTTAGATGTGGGCGGTATCACGCCCACTTTCCAAAATTCTATAATAATGTTACGTTTTTTCAAGGAATTGTTATTAGTATCCATTCTGAGTAAATTAGCGTCCTCAAAATTTCCAGATATCCATGTTTCAAGAATTTCTGAAATTTACCGTTATATGAAAAGCGGGAGTAATTTTTAACGTTTTGCTTTTGTGTTGTAAGCGAAATAATCGTATCAAGTTTGGTACAAATTGATCGAACGGTTACCGAGATATACATACATACCTGGTCATAAATGGGCGGTGGCATGCCCATTTTCCAAAATTTTAACATAAACGTAGTTTTTGCTAAAGAATTATTGCAAACATCACTTTTGAATAAATTAGCTTCTGTATTTACTGATTTTATCGAAGATTTCGTATTTCTCTAAATTACCGTTATATGGGATGTGGGCGTGGTTATTGTCCGATTTCAAAAAATTTCAGCCATTTGGTATGTTGTACCAAGGCGGTTACCAAGATAAACACATGTATCATCATAAGTGGGCGTGGCTACGCCAATTTTCCAAAAACTTATAATATTCTTATTTTACGTCCAAAAATCATTGTAAATATCAAGTTTCAGTGAATAAGCTTCAATATCGCAGTTTTCGTATTTCTAAAGACCCCCATATAACGGGGAAGTCGGTGTGGTTACGGTCCGATTTCGCCCTTTTTCAATAGCTACGTACCAAATTTTGTTGAGATATCTCAAGTTTTCATTCTGCTCATTTATGTATACATTTGTCTATATCTATCTCGATTCTGTTTGGGTGTTACAAACAACCGTTATGTGAACAAATTTATAATACCCTTGTGCACAAGTGCGCTCGGGTATAACAATTCTCGAATACGTGTTAGCTTATTTAATTTATGTATGTGGGGCGTTCCATACCAAAATTGACGGGGTTCACACTTCATGTGTTTGATTTGTCTCAAATTTTTAGGGTTGATGGATAAACATAAATTATAAATAAATATGAAATTTGAGCTTAATTAATATATTTTAAAAATTGTACAGCACAAAAACAAAAACAAATCGATTTAATAGTTTTCCAAATATCTCGAGAACGGGGCGAGGAAAAAATTTGAAAAAAACCACATACACACATCACGATTATCTATGAAAATAAACATTTTTTAAATTTTATTTTCTTGAAAAATTTTTTGTTAGAAAAAATTAGTTTTTGAAAATATGCCATCTCGAAATTTAGATTTCTTTTGAATTTTTTTTAGAATTTTTTTGAGTATGCAGTTTTGTAGCCCGTTAGGTTTTTTAATGATAATGGGCAAGCTTTAAGCTACTACAAAATTGTGTAGATTTTTAATATTTTTTTATGTTGACGGCTTTTGCACTTTGTTCTTATGAAAGAAAATGCGTAAAACCGTTTTCAAATAAAATTAAAAAAAAAATTAACGCCAGTTTTGCAATCGCTTAAAACTTGCACTTATTATACTAAAATTTAATGGGCTATAAAACTGCATACTCAAAAGAATTCTAAAAAAAATTTTAAAAATTTGCATTTCCTAATGTACCTACTCATTTTACTCAACTTCGGTGTAAAAAAAAATTCATAACTCAAATTATTGTAGGGTGCACTCTACAATACTATACTTAAAATTTGCGCAATACTCACTGTGATTGTTTTGAGATGTCATATTTTCAAAAACTAATTTTTTTATAAAAAAATTTGTATGTGAAACATTTTTCAAGAAAAAAATTTAAAAAATATTTATTTTCATAGATAATTTTTATATGTGTATGCGCGATTTTTTTTTTCAAATCTTTTCCTCGCCACGTTCACGAGATATTTGGAAAACTATTAAATCGATTTGTTTTTGTTTTTGTGCTGTACAATTTTTAAAAAATATATTAATCAAGCTCAAATTTCATATTTAATTATAATCTATGTTTATCCATCAACCCTAAAAATTTGAGACAAATCAGACAAATGAAGTGTGAACCCCGTCCATTTTGGTATGGAACACCCCATGTATGTAGGATTAAATAGGCGAAACTTAGTAGTTTTGGTTATGTCTTTTTTTAACACCAATTGAACAATAGTTTCTGATCTATTATCGTTACACTAACAGGCCTATTCTGCTTGTTACCGAACATTTTGACGCCGGAAAATTTTGTTACCAAAAAATAACACCACTTCTTGAAACCGCAATTCAGGTATGAAGTTTTGTATAAGTTCTGGTGTTGCATACTTCACCGAGCAATATTTTGTTAACTGGTTATGAGATGGTAGCAAAATTTACCAGTGTGCAGAATGCGAAAAGGGTTTAAAAATTACCAGGAACTTTATTTACCGGTAACAAAATTTTTGTTACCAACGCAGAATAGGCCGGTAAATACGACGTGCGCTTGGTGGCGGCTTACAATTGATTGACGAAATTGATAACCTTCGTATGGTCCGTTCGTTTCCTAGCGTCTGTTGATGGGTATGTTAAGACTAATCGTATTGTGTTTCTGTTAAGGTCTTGTAGGTGTTGCGTCGTTGTCTTCAACTGTATTGGCAGATTGAGAGATAGATGTCGTCCTACATGTATAAAATCCATAAAAAAATTTTAAGCGAATCGGAGACATGACATCATTTTTTTTACGAAATCCGTCCGACTGGTATATATACATAAGTATATATACATACATATGTTGTGGCATACTAATCTTACTACGCATATGTGTATACATATGTATAAATACTATATGTACATAAGTGTAAAGATAATCTCTTATTTTTTATTTTTTGTTAAAATGACGGCGACTGCAATATGAGTGAATTTCAATTCCATAGTTTTTAGTTTATTCGGTTTGTTATTAGCTTTTTAAACTAATATAAAATAAAGACATTTATATTTCTTTGCTTAAAAACACAAATTTGTTTTTATTTCTAGTAGTAGCAGGGATCACACGGTTTATGCATTTGTACAGGTTTGTGCATTTTGACAGTTACAGAGTGTGGTTATTTGGAAATTTTTTTAAATTCCTAGACAACAGCATTCTGTGGTCGGTCAAACCAGACAATCGTTAACTTAAACCAAAAAAAATTTGATTTTACTTATTTAGTTCATACGGAATACCTGCAAGGTATCGTTTCATCCCTAGTGGCGGTTATATTGGTTGACTATTTATCGGATTTGTGTCTGTTTATTTAATGAATCATCTAACTAACCTGCTGGGTAGTCACATTTGGCGTCTCTAACTATCTTAAGCGCTTTACGCAGATCGGCGTCTTTATCAATGAAAACATGGCAGACACCTTCGGCGTGTCCCAGCACTGGTATGTGTACAGATTGCTCCTGTATAGTACGAACAAGTTCTGACGATCCACGCGGAATTATTAAATCAATATGATCTTCCATTGATAAAAGGTCACTAATTTCTTCACGAGTTGAAACCTAAAATAATAAAGTGAAAGGGACCAGTCTTTTATGTGATTTCATAGCTATTTATATTACTAGTGGTAGCTATATTTACATATGTTGGCTTTAAATAACTTAGTAATTGTTTTCAAATTAAACCATATATTATACATACCTTAAAATTTATCAACATCCTAATTCACTATTCGGTATTTTAATATTAATAAAGTTTTAACAACTTTCTAGACGCCCTTACTTTGGATTCATAATTTGTGATAAAACTAAATTCTACTCACCAGGGAAACTGCATTCTCTGCTCCAACCGTAGAAAGTGCCTCCTTGACCAACTCCATCAGAGCTTTATTGCTGTGAGAAGCCTCTTTGCCCCCCTTAAGTAGAAGGCCGTTGGCTGACGCCATTGCCAAAGCAGCTACCTGAGGCAACGAATCAGGACGAGATTCGAATATTACTAAGAGGACTCCAATAGGAACAGTGACTTGTTTTAATTCCAAATTATCTGCCAATCGCGTGTAACGTAGCACCCGTCCAACATTCTGAAGCAAAAATCATCGTTTTAATGTTTTAAATATTTAGAACGGGATATTTGTTATGTGCAGGGAACGATTTTAAGGACCTAAAAAACCCATAAAAATCGTAAAGGTATTTATTTTAGAAATGTTTATTTTACAAGTAAAAAAGTGAGTTATGGCGAATCCGCTACGTGCACTGTAAAACATTGTAAATATTTCCCCTTTCTGTAAACTAAATGATAGGCAGGGAAGTTTCTCCAGAAAGTTTCGATAATATGGTTAATTAGACTTAATGAAATAATTGGACCAATTTGGGTATGTATAAATCGATAAGAGCTTTTCGATACACAGTTATATTGTCATAACTGAGCGATGCCACGCCCATTTTCCATAAATCTATAATAATCTTATTTCCTGTTAAGAGATTGATGTAAAATTCACTTGGAGGAAATACAGTTACAGTTAAGTTGCACGGCTCAATACCGACTCTTGCGTCCTCGTTCACAGTCTGGGCAATGTGAGAAACCTATGTGCGAGATGCGGTAACCAACTCGAGTGGAGCCTTGGGTCACGGCAGAAAGAGAGGTAGCTTCGGTGGGGCCGCTCAGACTAATTCGGTTTAAGGGCTCACAGAAGTCTGCAGCGTAAGTTCACCAGTAGGTGCGGCTGCAAGCAGGTGACTGTGTTAAAGCCAGTGGCTCGCTATATAAACGTGCACCCGGTTGAAGGACCACAAAATTCTAGCAAAACCTGGTGAGCTGGATTTGGGACCCGGCACGTAAAACCATTTCCTATGACAGCGATGCCCCTTCTTTTGATGACCTGGAATGTCCGGACCTTTAATGGAATGCACGAAATCAGAATAAATTTATCAGTCGTTGATAGAGTTGCCAGATTTTTTGTGCACGAAATCAATACCTTAGATTTTTCTATGCTATAAAACTCTGAACTTTTCAGTACACTTTTATTCAAAGCAAAATTATGAATGTAAGTAACAGGAAATCCTTTACACTGCCAAAGTACATGTATTTAACAATATTTTGGTATACATATAAAATATAGTTCACAAAAAATAAAAATGGTATTGATTTTAACATGAGTGTACACATTAAGATGTAGTATAAAAATATCCTTATAATATCATTGTACACAAGAGCCAATAAATTATTTTATATTTGACATTTTTTAATAGCAACAATGAGATCATTTCCACTTTCAGTGTTTAAATAGTCAAAGATTCTATACATTTCATTTTAAAATTATTATTAATTTGAAGCTCACTTTCAAAAATTTTAATTAAAAGTCGGTTTTTCTCTTTGCGCCAGGAAGCAAACTTTATACTTAAAAGCCTGTCAGTTGCTTCGTTTGAGTGTGGTATTGAAAAAAAAAACAAAATTACATATTTTGACGTAGAATACGTCTTACCTTTCGATATGGAGGCTATGCTCAATTGTTGTTGTAATTTTTAGAGTTTCACGAAAACGCTTATTGCACAAGAACTAGTGAAGCGATTTCAAAGAAAGGTGTGGCGTTTTAAAGACAAAACTCCAAACCTATCGACAGATACATTTCTGTAAGTAATCAATTCAGTGTCTGCTGTAGAAACAACGGTAAATATTGTCTTATTTCGGGGTCAATTTTGAACATTTAATGTGCTCTAGCAACTTATGATTTGCAGACAAAACTATCATTTTCGGGATATAGGTTCTCTGGAGCAGTAGAAATATTATCGTGTACAAAATTTATATAAATTCAACAAATATCAAGCATTTTAAGGCAACATTTTTTTGAAAAAGTTAGCAAATTTTTTTTTTATTTCCACAACTCTCGAAAACCGCTCTAATGATTTTGTTTTTGTTTTCCTTAGTCAAAAATTCAAGTTGGTTGATATCTTCTAAGCATGTTTATTTTATTCAAATATATGGGTATAACTGATTTTCCATACAAAATCACTTCGTCATCATGCAAACACGTGCTTGCGCTGGAGATGAGAGAAGGAGACAAAAAGTATGTGCGCGTATGTATGTAGGTATTTCGGATTTTGAGTAACAGATGGCACAATATTTATAACCTAATCGCAGCGTATGTATGTAAATACATACATACGACCATATGTTGATTGCAGTTAATGTGGATCTGTTTTTCTTACAGTATCTACTCTATGTATGTATGTATGTAGCAACTTATGATTCGCAGATATAACTTTAGTTTTCGGGTTATAGGTTCCTTGGAGTAATATAAATATTATCGTGTACAAATTTTATATAAATTCAATAAATATCGGGCATTTTAAGGCAAAAAATTGTTGAAAAAATTAGCAAATTTTTTGTATTACCTATATTATCGAACACATGATTTTGTTTTTGTTTTCATTAATAAAAAAAATCAAGTTTTTTTCTTTCGTTTGGTATATGAGATGTATTGGTTGATATCTTCTAAGTATGTTTATTTTATTCAAATACATATATGGGCATTAATAATGTGACCAACCGTACTTCTTTCGGAAGTACAGTACTTCTTTTTCGCTCTTGTACTTCGTACTTCGAAGTACAGTCAAATGTACTTCTTTGCGATATTTTGTACTTCAGGAGGGAGATTCTGATTCGGATCGCTATCGCACTTTTTGACGCATGATATAAATGTTTTTGCGTCAAAAAGTGCGATAGCGATTTTAAAATGGTCGCTAACTAGTTACAGAATCTCCCCCTAGGTCCTGTACTTCTCTTCTGGACGATCGTCACATGGCCTGGGCGATGAATTCGTTCAAGCCATTAAAGTCGTCGGGAACCGATGGCATCATATATGTGCGCAGCTGCAAAGGTCTCTGAAGGAGTCGTGTAATTGGTTGGATCCTATTTATGCGAACTGCGTGAAGACCGGGTACATCCAAAGGCTTGGAGTGTAGACAGTGTTGCGTTCATCCCGAAGGCCGAAAAAGGATCTCATATTTCCCCTCTTCGTTTTTGCTAAAAACGCAATAGAGAACTGATAGACCTGTACGGAGTCAATAGAAGCACGCCACAACGTGGTATTCCCTCTCCCCTGCTCTGGATTTAAGGGACGATTTCTACGGTGGGCGATCAACGGCGACTTCCGAGGTAGCCTAATATTGAGGAAAGGGCAGGAAAGCTGTCGGTAGCCTTGAACTGCGGCAGGGGAGCTATCGGTGAAAGGTTGGGTCCTTCGCCCAAATTAATTCATTAGCTCTAGGAAACCAGATTTAAGCCTATATTTTTTCAAGCAGCCCTTGTCTGGTAGAACTCACTAGAGAAGGCTACACTTGTAACAGGAATTAGCGGAACATTAGAAACCACACCTACACTGGCGCTTAACATACTACATATGTTGAACACGGCGCATGCGAATATTGCAGACAGAATTGTCGCAGCACGAACTGATATTAAGCTAAGGGAAACCGGGTCCTTTTGTGACATAGAAAAGGAAAATAAGACGTTTCTCTGCCGCAGAAAATGTTTTTATAGGGCACCAGGAATGAGACTAGGAATTTCAACTGAGCCTTTTGTATCAGCTGTCAAGAGGAAGATGAAGTGGAATCATCTCGACTTTTTCTTTTAGACTGTCCAACCTTCGCGAGGCTAAGATGGAAGCATTTTGGGTCGCACTTCTGAACAAACACTGAGCTCTCAGGGATCGAAATTAGCCGCATTCGAAATTTCGTAATCGGCACGCGGCGTTAACTTAAACCATCCTAAGCTGTACTTCTGTGAGCTATGAAATAGTTGGTCACATTAGGCATAAATGATTTTCCATACAAAATCACTTTGTCATCATTTTGCAAGCACGTGCATGCGGTGAATGTGAGAGAAGGAGACAAAAAGTATGTGCGTGTAGTAGGGATGTTGCGAATGTGGAACTTTAGACATCCGCGGATGCGGATGTTTAAAAGCTAACATCCGCGGATGCGGATGCGAATGCGGATGTCAAGTGTTTTTAAGAAATATTTTAGGTGAGTAAATTAAGTGATTTAATGTTTCTGATAATGATAATGTTTCTTTTTTTATTTAGTACTTGAATTTAAAAATTGGAACATTGTATTTAATAAAAAGCTATGTTGCTGCCTTTTCGGGTTACAGCCTATTTTTTAAAGGGTCGTAAATCAAACCTGCGCCACTCGCTCGAGGCGACAAACTTGAAAAACTTGACAAAGTTGTAAATTCTTTTAGATTGACGCGACACCAGTTGGGAGGACTTGCAGTTTTATTTATTTTTCTTTTTATTGCGGTTCAATATTTCCTTTTTGAGAATTGCATGGGGGCTGTAAATGTCGCATGTATCCTCCTGACTTTCATGTTCACAATCTTCAGAATTTGTAGAACCTGTATCGTCATCAGCGTTTTTCGGTTTGAGTTTTTGTAATTCATTTTTAATCCTTTCTTCTGTGACTGGTTTGAAAAATGTGTGCTTATAGCGAGGTTCTAAATAGGTGGATATGGCAAATAAATTGTTATTTTCTAGGAATGAAAATTTCGAAAAAAATTCTTTTTTGAAAGTTGTGGCTGCTAGCCGAATTTATAATAATTTGAATTATTGGAATCACGGACGATGAAGGTCTCACATCTGCTCGAAAAGATTCACCCGTAATGAATATCTTGTAATTCGTTTTTTTTTTATTAGCTGAGCTCAACTTTTCCTAGTTGCAGGCAGTCACAATTAATTACTTACCGCGGTCGGTGCCATAAGCCATAAAATCCGTTTTGTTGTTCCATTCCATGCACTCAATGTGGTTTGATATTTGGAGGCAGGAGGAGTGTGACTTGGCATGCAATATAACGTTAGTATAGTATGGAAAGGGCGTATTTCACATTTCTCTGAAATGCAAAAACGATGTGGGGATTTATAATTCGATGAAATGCGTCATAATCAATCAAATAGTGAATTTTGGATTTTTAGTTAGTTCAGCGACGGTATGAGTTACGCCCTTTCCATACTATACTAACGATATATTGCATGCCAAGTCCCACTCCTCAATAGATATTAAATTCGCCTTGAATTGATTCTTATTT